ATTTTGTTTAAGGGTATAATAGTCACTCTCTTCCTAAGACCGCCTTTTTGTAGAAGTTGTTTTCCTGTATCTTCTGTGTCTACCACAATATTAAACAACTTCCCTCCAGCAGCTACCTGCAGAAGATTTAATAATATAATGCCACAACCAACATACTTATCAGCTATAGTAAACCCTTGCAGGATGAGAATATTAGAGAACTAAAGAAAAATATCATAATACATGTAATTCACAAACCTCTAGCGCAGTCATTGCAGAACTATCCTTCACTTTAATGAGTTTCGCGACAACGCCTTTCACCTTCGATCTATTAAAATTCTTCACTGGGTCACTATATGTGAAGTCAATATTGGACAGACGAGAGGAAAGAACACGTATTTCATCTTTTAACTTTTGTATAGCCTCTACTTCAATGGCACGATCCTGATTTAAGAGACAGCATCAATCAACAACAAGAAAAACATAAAGAAATTTAAAAAATGACTTTTGTACGAGTAGCTTAGATTTTGGGGGCATCCAGAGAGAGACGTACACTTTGTAATAAATCCATCTGCTCCTCTTTGTATGAAAGAGATTCCAAAGCTTTTTGAAGCTTTTCCACTTGTTTCTTCCCATTGTTAAGCTCATTTTCCACTGCAGCAGCTTCTTCACGCTTTGATAATAGCTGAGTTTTCTTCCCTTTTAGCTCTTTCTCACAATGGTTTATTTTTGTTTGCAACTGTTTCAGTTCTGTTTCAGCATTTCCAACTTCTACTTTGGCATCGGCTAGTTGTTCTTCAAGGCATTTCTCCTCATTCCCACTACTCTTACCAGCCAACACACCCTACAAGAGAATTAGGATCAGCTGATAGAGATGAGATAGGATTTAATAGGCATTGTGCAGTGATCCCCACAAAAAATCATATATGCTCACCTGGTACTCCTTTTCATGTGCTTCAAGACTAAGAGAAAGCTCCTCAGCTCTTTTCTTGAGGTCTGATGCTCCTTCTTCAGCCTTGCTTACAGCGGCAACCTTTTCTTCTGCTGATTGCTTCAATTCTTCGAGATTTTTTTTAATCTGCAATGTCAGTGCATCATTATTAAATCCAAGGGACATAATAACGATGGAGCTTAAGAACAGACAAGTAACAGAAAAATACAGTGAAATCTCTGAGAGGGAAAAAGGAAAATTATAAACAGGCAAGGCTGGGAAGTATGAAGTTCTGACCTTTACACAATTTTTTTTCTCAGTCTTTAGAATGTCCTCTTGATTTTTTAAGACAGATGACTCCTTCACCAGATCACATGAAAGAGCATCAACCTTTTCAGTCAAAAGCTTTATCTCCCCACCCATGTTTGCATCTTTCTCAGCTTGCAATTCTGATGCTCTCTTTTCCATTTCCTGTACCTCTTCCTGCATCTTTCCCACATTACTATCAATTTCAGTAATCTTAGACTTCATACCTTCTAAACCCTGTACGGCATCAGCCATAACTTTTTCAGCTTGAACATACTCATAGGCAATGCAAAACCGTTTAAGTCTGTCCAATTCTGCATTTCCATTTGCCCATTGCATATACTGCATCCTCTCTTTCCTCAACTTCTCCAAAGCAGGAAGAATTTCCTGATCTAAGAGCTTGTCAATCTCATCAACTTTACTTTGTTTCTTTTCAAGAGTTTTGAGGGCAGCTTCTTTCTTTGTCTCGTACATTCTTGTACCAGCAGCTTCTTCAAGCATAGACAAGATTTCAGGAGGTTTCATGTTCAAGACTTTTGTAATGCGCCCTTGCATAATAAGAAAGTGTGGATTGTTTACATTTAGCTGCACAGAGTGAAAAAGATTCTGAACCCGATTTGGCTGTGCAAGGTGCCCGTTGATCAGATATTTGTTCCTTCCACCAACTACAATCTGCAAATATATGATCATTGAATGATTAACACAGTAGCCTTGCAAATAAAAGCAGATATTAATAAAGGATGAGTAGAAGAAGAGCTTCAGTCTTTGACTGTATTTTTTATGACAACAGTTATTGATTTCAAATGGATTAGGAATTAAAAGAGAAGGGGAAAAGCAAGATCCTTGACTTCTCCGTAACTTCCAATCTAATCAATCAGTTCCAAGTTGGATCTTGCTATCTTCTATTTAACACGGAAGTACTATCTACTGACAGATATAATATACTCCCTCCATCCACGTTTTACTTGTCCACTATACTAAAACTAGATGTCCATTTTTACTTGTCGAGATTAGAAAACCAAGAGATAATTTATCACTTAGTTACTAATTTACCCTTACTAATAACTATAGTCATTTCCCAAAGCATTGAATTTATTATGTTCAAAGGGTAATATGGTAAAATTGTCATTATATTTACCGTTTCTCAAGGGTGTGTCAAGTCAATGTTGGACAAGTAAAAATAGACGGAAGGAGCAATATAGTAAAACTCATTGTAGGATTTTTCACCTATAAGCATGGTTAATCCTGATTAGAAAGAGAAAAGGGGGCATAAAGGCTGGTTCACATAACAATGTGTGCAATAGAAGCCCTAATATCCTGTAAACAACCCCTTCATGTAATTGAGATGGCTACATTTAAATTATTTGAAAACTCACTAAACAATTGCATATAATAAAGGCAGTAGCAACATTCTTTTGGCAACCAAGATACAAGCTCAATCCTTGGTTTGCACCAATTGAAAAACTGTTTATTTCTGATTGATATGTCTAGGGAACTCTTTTCAATGGTTGTATGCAAATTCAGCCACATATACTAACTCAGTGACATTCTAACGGCAAAAGTGTAACCTCGTCCAAATTCGTACAGTCTAAAATGACTGCAAATTTAAACATCAAGTTCAACTTCAAAATGAAGATTTTCACAATTATGAACCCCTTTAGCTAATTATACATATTTTCTCAAACACATTAAAAGAAAAATGGAAGTCACCTGACGGGTAACTGTGATCTCGGCACAATCTTCATATCCCAAAGGACTTCGACTACGGTCCGAATTATCAAACACAACGGACACTGTAGCTTTAGTAATTCCAGCTTGGCCTTGCTTGTACACCAACTCCTGCAGATTAGAAGCCCTAACCTGCTGCAAATTCGTAATCCCTAAAACAAAGCAAATTGAGTCCAAAATGTTGGATTTCCCGGACCCATTCAAACCGGTTATTGCATTGAAAAACGGATCGAAACCCGAGACAACTGTTCTTGTTGCATATGACTTGAACCCCTCCAAGCAAATTTCTTTGACATGCATGGTCACTGAGAGCTAGGAGTTCCCAGAGAGAAAATTAAAACCCTAGAAATGAAAACTAAAATAGGGCTTTGGAGATCAAAACCCTACTGTTTTCTGAAGAATGATTAGAGGAAGAAAGAAGCGTTTTGTTTGAACTTTGAAGATGCGGATGGATAAATTAGTCCCAATTGGGGGAGCTTTAAGGCGGGAAAACGGATTTTTCAACACCTTTCCTATTTTTGAATTTAAGGGCTCCTATTTGTTGTTAAAGAGTATTTAATTATGTCGGGTCGACTGATTTTGGGCCTGGGGTCGGCTTTTCCAGGCTCATGATCTTGTTCTTAAAGCCCATATTCATTCGGTAATCTAAGTTGTGATTTTTAGCCTAGTTTAGCATAAGTGGTCTACATCTTATCTAGTTTGGCATAAGTGGTTATCCTAAAAAGTACATACAATGCAAATTCCAGGTTAATTATCTCTCTTTTCGTGAGTTTCCGATATTAAAATTCTTACCATAATTCAAAAAAAAAAAAACTCTTTCTATTTTTTACAGCATTAGAAAATTATCCAATTGCTTATTCACAGAATTTCTTCAAAAAAAATTCAAATTCCTTCCCATTTTTTTCGAGCATCAAAGTTTTTTTTCCCATACATACATATAATACTAACTCATATACATATACATTTTATCATATAGTATATTTTGTTAGATACATGTACACCTAATCAGATATATATTTCGACCACAATCTCTCATCCTCTCCCCTTTGTCACTCTCTTCTCTCCAACCAAAGACCAACGTCATCGCGTTGCTCATCTCCGATGAAAACTCCACCAAAACAGCAGAAAAACCTTTGTTCCTTGTTGTTCTTCACCTCACCAACAAACACCCGGTGAGCCATCAAAAATCCAACGATACTCCATCTCCAATAGGTATCAAAGAAATGTCGGTTCTTGATTTGAAGTGAAGTAGTAAATTAGGGTAACAATTAAATGGGATGTGGCTCTATTTTAGGCTATTTTTAAGGAGTGATGTATGTGACTCCAAATCTAGTACATAATTAATAAAGAGTGAGATAATGGATAATTATTTGAAAGTATAAATAAAATTAGTAAATATAATATGAATATATGTCCAATTATGTAGTTTTTTCTGTAAAAATTCAATCATAATTAACACATGGTAATAAATAAAAGGTAAACATCACAAAGTAAGAATTGATATTTCAATACACAAGTCTTTGGCCTCTCCTCTTTCGCTTTCTTACCATGAATCATTTCTATATCATATAGTATATCTATATGAATTTGTTTGATTCTTCTAAGTGTTCAAGTTTCCTTCAAAATCAACTTGGATTTCTTTAAAAGAAAATTCTGAATTTTATACAATTCTTTATCATTACCCACAAATCACAATGAGTCTTACCGAATTTGTTACGATGAGGAATCTATATTCGAATTAATATTAAAGTGATTATTTTATAATCATTAGTTTTGGGTAATGATAACTGTGAGATCTAAAAAATTCATAAATTTTATTTGCTTTGAAATTATAATTTATTTACCAATTTGTTTGGAATGGACTTGTTATCGATTATAGTTGTTTAAACATGGTTATCTATTTTTATGATCATCAAATTGATAGATTTCTCCAAGTTAGCAGTTAAAACTTAAAAAAGGTATCAGGCCTGTTTCACAGACAGCATATGCAATACATGGATTGAAGCAAACTAATTTTGAGCGCAAGATTTTTTTTACATTACCCGTATATACCTGTTGTAGCAGGTAACCTGCGTTATTTCCCAGGTTAGGCATCTAATTTTTTTATGACGAATACTTAGGTGATCTAATAATGTAAAAAATAAGTAACACTGTCAATCATATAAAAGTTCAACTGAGACTAGTAACAATCAGAAAAACCATTTGGGTCTCACTTCTAATTCCTCCTCTGTCAACTCCCTGTAGTCGTACCACTGTCCTCCTGCTTTGCCCACAGGCATAGGAGATCGAACAAAAATCTCTACTGGCTTCGGAACATGGACAATAAAAGTTAGCTCTCCAGCTGTAACTTCTGAAACTGGATTAGATATTCCGGCTGATTTGTTAACTGGTACAACGGAAAACCATCCAAGACCAGATATAGCCACATCGCAGGTAGGTCTATACCGACAAATTAGCAACAACAAAAAAGGCACATATTAGGCATCCAGATAGTGTCACAGTTTGTGATATATGAATGTGCTCACCTCTCAATATCTTCATACTTAATTTGTAAATGCCGCTTTGTTTCAAGTCCCATCCAGTCATCTGCCTTTTCTTTTCCTGTCGGAGGTGTCAATAGAACTCCGAGTTCTTTCTGCAACAATGAGAGATGTTTCACGTGCAAAGTACGTATAGAAAAAAGATCTCTATACATCCGTTCTGTAATGATCTCTCTAAAGGGATTTATACATAATTGGCAACTCTACCTACTATGAATGCCCATAATGAAATTATCATGAAGGTAAGAGCAAGGGGTTGGAACAAAGAAAATAAGAAACCATGAATTCTATTACTTTTCCTTCATTCAACTCTTTCTTCCTTGAAAAAGAAAATAAACACAGAAGAAAACTTTCATACTTTTTTCAGTTCTGTATTTGTGAGTGCAGTGCTTTCCCTTTTTTCTTTTTACATTACCATCCACAACCAAAAAGGTCAAAGGTCAAAGACCACTTAGTATAAAATACAAGAGTTTGGAATTACCTGGTAGAATTCATCTGCTTCTTCAGTAGGCACTACGTGAATTTGCAACGCCTTGGGTCCATAGAATGTCAAACAAGTCTCTGGGAGAACCTGAAGTAATATTAAAGTCCACCAATTGAAAATGACTGATTCGGACTGCTTATATATGCAAAGGAGACAAGTTTTTTATGAGAAACCTTCAAAACGTCAATTCGAACAAGGCCTCCCCAGAATATTGATAATCCACTCAAGCCACTTGATCTCATTCGGTTAGCTATCTGCGAGTCCAAGTTTTGCCCAGAACTCTGTTACATTAGAAAACCAGGAAAAAGAGAGAAAGAGTGAATACACGTCAAGTTTGATGACATCAAGATCTCTTAAAGCAAATGTTGGAGAAAGAGCATACTGGAAAAACTTGACCCCGAAGACGACTTTGAGGAGCAAGAGTAGGGAGATCTTCCGCGTGAATAACTGCAGCTTGCCTATGATGAAGATGGACCCCAGGGGTATCATACAATTTCTAAATAATAATAAAGGGCATAGAATCTGTTAAAACCACACACATTGGAAGAGCTATCAATCTATTAAGTATTCATCTTTTAACATTGGAAATTAAACAAAAAAAAAAAAGACAAGAAAGTAAAATCAATCAGAAATTAGTTTGTCGGACATTAAGGACAATAGCTATGGTGACTTCGATTAATGTGATTAGCTATTATGAATCTTTTATCATTTTTTTCATAAAGGTTTGTCATCAGCATGTGTAGTTATGGTTTCCTGGGCTTCATTTGAGACTCAAAAAAAGTTATGAGCAGCTTGACTTTTGGTCGAATGAACTAATTTAGCAGCGTTCCAGTGTCAAATTAATAATTCAAGCATTAGGGGAAAAACATTCTCAACCTCAGATTAAGTTCCACGAGTATAATAGAAGTTAGATAGGATCTCTTCCTCTTTTAAGATTCAAGAACTACACTTTTAACGTTCCCTTGCACCCAGTAATTCAAACACCGTTTTAGATTATCACATAAAGAAGTTGGTTTCATTTGCTACAGTGAGATAAACTTACTTCACCACCAAGGAAAGCATCAATTGGGATTGGACCCAGTGTCGTTCCGGGAACAGCTGATTGTATTGGTTTGTATTTCCGTGCAGAGGCTGCCACTGGGTCCTTATATGACATCGTATCTGATTACACAGTCATAGTAAGATACAATAGCAGAGACAAAAAGGAGGAGTGGACAAAGCAATGAAAGAGCAGATTTAAAGAACAAATAGGCATTAAAAGAGAAGACTGAAAATTACAATTCCCAGTTGCCATTATATTGCTAGCACATTAGTCCAGGTCAAAGCAAGATTTCATTGGAAAATTGAAGCGACCGTCACTTGGTAAAATTACACATTATCTATCAAATAGAAGAAATTGATAAGCTAAACTCATAGAATGTTGTTGGAAGTAATGGAAAAAGTACATCTACATATTAGGTTATGTTAGGTAGGCAGAGTTGTTGATAGGATATTTCTAGTGATTCCACAGAACAAAATTCCAATTTGAGACAAACTCTATGACCAGAGATACTAAGACCTACTCTTGTCTGAAGTGACATAGGGAAAAAAAGAGCACAAAATTACAGAAATTGTAGACAAATCTATGGGTTTATGAATAGCAACTCGGGTACTGCATTTGACCCTCCAAAGAAAAAATACTTTAAGGAACTAAACCCTATGTACAAAATCACCCACCAACAGTGTGATGAATACAGAGGTTCATAAATGACTTACTTAACAGTGCATTGATGAATGCAGATTTTCCCACATTCGCTGAGCCCTGAAAAGTCAATAGCACTTGACATTTACATAAATTGATTACAAACAACTAAGAATTAAATTGAAGAACTAACAAAGACACAGCACAACACAAGAAAATATGACTAATCATCAAATTCCAAGTTTCAGATACTAACCAGAATGTATACATCCCTTCCCTGCAGGAAAATACCAACACTAGATTAGTAAGCTGTAAAATGGTGTGAACAAAAGGTATTCAAGAGTAAAGCCTACAATATATCTGTTTAAGCAGGAACAAAGTTCCTTGACAAAGAAATAAAGATCCTTCCAAATAAAAACAAGAACGTTCACATAATCCAAGTATTGAATAATGATCACACGATATCTAATTTTATGAGAGGACTAACAAGCCTTCAATACAAATTACTAGCAAGATGGACTAACTTTTACTTGAAGAGATCAATTTGATTTTATTAGCTGTCTTTATCACTACATATCCAGACACAATCTCGTTCATACTTAAGTTCATCCAGTCTCTGTCTAAAAAGATCCGTCAAACAGAATCATGAGACACATCCATTTATTTATCAGCTGATTTAGTAATGGATGAACTAGCATAAGCCATTAAATGTAGTTCCAGCAAAAATGAGATTTTTCCTTTAGAGATGCTTAATGAGATTCTGGGAGAATGGACCACAATATACTGATCAGCATCCAAAAAAAGATGCACTGTGAATATCCTATTCACATATAAGGAGCTCATGATGGTAAGTTATTGCCTTTTAGTTCAAGTGAAAGTTGGTAAGCGCCAAGATAACTTTAAGAAGAAACTGCATGAATATGTATATATCAAAATCCATATTTTCAAACAACAGACGTACACCACCAAGGCAGTATTACCCAAAATGTACAGGTATAATCTTGCATCATCATAGACAAGAAACCAACCTTTTTCTCATGAATATGTATATATCAAAATGCATATTTTCAAACAGACGTACAATACCAAGGCAGTTTTACCCAAAATGGACAATTGTAATCTTACATCTCCATAGAGAAGAAACCGACCTTTTTCTCCTTTTGGATTTCTGACACCACCCCGGAGATTCCAACCAATGACTTTGAACTTGTTAAATGAACGCTAAGAACACTGCAAAAAGGAGCATACTGTTTCAAATTTTTATGTGATCTTTTGTTCTTGGGATTAGAAGTCGGATATGATATTTACCTTATCTACAATCACTAACTGAATATTACTAAACAGGAGAGACATAATCAAATTACTACAAAGTGAACATGATCTACAAAAGGATCACACTTAAGCAATACTGGTTGGAGATGGCTAACTGACAATTAGGATCTCAAAAGAAGCACACCAACTAATCCAAGCTGAAGCTATAACTTCCATTGCACCAAATGAGTCAAAGATATAAAGGATACATAATACACCTCAAACTTACTTAAGCTTCTTCTTCATTGTGGCCTCCACAACCCAGTCACCAACACAATTAAGATCAGTATCTTTTGGAAGAAGATCCACCTTAAGAAAGTGAAATAGAGAGTACAAAATATGTTAGTTGGAAAAAATATACAACAAGTTAGTACTGCCATTAACTGCATATCACTTAGTTGCTATTATTACCTTAGTTATAACCAAAATTATGGGATTTGCACCAGCAAGATCTCGGACACGAGCCAAAAAACTGCCATTGAAGTCTACAATATCAACCTACAGACGGTGATCCATGAAGGTATAAAGAGTGCAGAAAACACAAATAAACAAGGTTTAGGAGTCAATGACATGAACTGAAAAATGAGAACCAACAATCATATTTCTTTGCTTTATCAATATAGTAATCAACACCAGTGTTATCAATCTTAAGACTGAAATACAAGCTTTCACAAGGTTGGATGGCATTTCTTCAATCCATTAGATTAGAGGTTAATTTGTTCGATATTGTTGATTGATGAAACCTTTGCTCATGAGTGACTTCATTGCAAAAGGCACACTTGTATTACTTAGCATAAAGAATATATTTTTTCATGGTAACTACACTTCATTTTTAACAGGAAAAATGATGCTTGAAATTGTTATCATCCATTAATTACTTCTGGTTGCAAGGCTGTTCAGCTTTATCTAAGATTCCTAATGCGCAGATACTAAGCCCCAAGCTGAGCCGGAGGCTACAAATTCAATGCAGGACAAAGCTGTATAACCATTCAAATAGGAGAGTGAACATATGAATAAAGCAGTCAAGAACATATTATAAAGTAATATTCCTATAGTGAGAGTCACTGTAGTGTACTATTTGAGTTAGTTCACTCTGATGTACGGGATGAATTAGTCTAAATAGAATATAGAAAACTGACTTAGATATTCACACAATGTATTATTTTGAACTACATTTATACAATCTTCAGTTTAAAAACTCAAATTGGCAAAACTCTGGCAGCACCTCAGATTACCACATCATTAAGAAATTACAAACAAATTGGAGTCCTTTTTTCGTGGCTTACCAATTTAACAATCAAAGCTTTCTCATGGCGCACATGAGACAACTTTTCTCGAAGCTCTTCTGCTGTAACAAATTGCTTTCCTCCAGAATAACCTCCATTTCCACCTACTGCAGTTATCATGTGCCCATGAGACAATAGACGACACCGTCCACAAAGAATTTTACGTAGTTGATGATGTTTCTTTTTCTGCCATCCAACCAAAAATAAAATGAGCTAAAGCATCAACAGTAAACTTATCCATTACATATCTAGGAAACAACAGTAGCAACTAACCTAACAAATTTAGTGAATATGATACTTAACTAACTTAAAATTTTCCGGATAGAATTAGTTCAGTAAAACTCCCAAAATTAAAGAGACCTTATCACAAATACATAGAACGCATTAATTAGAAAGTTTTAATACCAAATCGTATGTCTCCTGGTCAACATAACCCGGAGCATCCTCTTCCGAAGTGTGTAACGGAGCTCCACAGCCGTAACAGCAAGGAGCCAAGTTGGAAATTTTGAAGATATTATCCCTCTTCTTCTTTTTCTTCTTAGTTGTGGCTAGCACCGATGAAGATGCAGCGACGACATGTTGGCGTTGAAGATATATGTCACCACGGGTCGGGGCGGCAGCTCCATAACCCTCGGGTTCGGATTCTGAGATAGTTTGGGGTTCAGTGGATTTGCAGAAGATAAGGGTGGATTTAGGAGTGTGAAATTTGTAAATGTTGAGGCTAGAAGGGGAGGAATTGGGTATAGGGAATGGGCAAATGGAAGATAAGGAGGATAGAGCAAGGAGTTTAGGCGCCATTGTTAATTGTGAAAGGAAGCTCGAACAAGAAGGATATTGAAGAGATATTATTTTATGTACTGTGACTTTTTTGACTAATGCTATTTTATAAACAACTGAATAAACATTTTCCATGTTGACCCTATTTTCTTTTTTTAGTCTAATGAAAAAGATATGTCTTTTTAAAACTTAATAATAATTTTACCTAAATTTATGTTTTACTTTTGTCGAGTAAATTTTACTATCACACAATTATGATATATATACAAAAAATATTTTCTTCTTAAAATTGTATGAACAATCATACTATTTAGATTTTTGCTTGGCATGAGCACATTGCATGTATACTTTCAATTGATACTAATAATAATTTAAATTTAACGAGAGATTCCAATTTAGTTGTCAGTCTTTTCAAACAATTTTTTTGAATCTTTTATGATATGTGAATATTAAGAATAATTATAAGCATTTTATTCAAAAATACATTTTAAATGTGTTATCGATCAGTCACATTGTTTTAACAGAATGAAAAACATTTGTGAAATGTGTAAGAATTGCTTTTTAGATGTTCAATTGGCTTAATTTAGAAATTTGTGATATGATATTTTAACTAATGCTAAACAATATCCTAATTCTACCGAGCTTATAAAATCAAGTATTATAAATAGGGTTCTTTTTTTATTTTCATGCATATGAAAACCACTTGCTTCCTACCATTTCTCTTATAGTTATACTTGTTTGTATTAATAACATAAATATAGTCATGGCACAAGATGATATTGTTTTGTTTACATATGTTAATTTACACGAGAAGAAGAAGAAAGAAGCAAGCATTGATTGTAGCGGGCAATGGATAGTTGTGGCAACTTGCTTCAAGCCTTTGGCACCTCAATTCAATACGTTAGAAAAGTCATCGTTAAAGCAATTGCAATTTGTACAACATTGAAAAATGCTAGAGAAAAGGATTGATCTAACTGCAAGTCTTATTAGAGGTGGAAAATGTGCTCGATATGGTCCTAAAGAAGTCTTATTCATTAGCACATAGAGTTGCTTATTTTTATGTTTTTTCGAGATAAATAGTAACTAGTGATATCACATCATTTAATTCTTTGAACCTTTTTAGGCATTAATATAACAAGTTATTGGTTGTTAATCAATTTTTTTAGAACAAGAGAATGATTCTATACCATATCTTTCATTCTAAAATTATGATTTAGAAATTACAAATGGTAGAGAAAGGTTTGAACACTTGATTAATTATTTGAACTGTGATTTAAATTTAAAACTGCAATCAGACTGCAAACGTGGTTACATGGTGGGGAAATAACATCAATTTCTTACCATTTTTTCTAGTTGTGCCCATCCCATTTAAAGTTTCCCCTCCCATAAACTAGATTGTGGTCACATGGTCGGGACCTTTTTTGGACTTTGCACATAGCGGAAGTTTTAGTGCACCAAATTATCTTTTTTTTCTTCACCTTATAAGTTTTATGGTCCTCTTTTGAGGAGTTCTAAGTTGATGACAGTTGAGGTGACGACGTTATTTTCACAAATCTTTAAATTGACATAAATAAAAAAATAACAAAGGAGATTTGAATAACCTTAAATTCACAAAAACAACTAACTAGACTATGACTAAGCACTAGTAGTTCTAGTAAAGAGAAGGCAACAACATCCTATTTTATAGACTAGCAAGAAGTAATACATACACATACAACAATAGCAAAAAAAAAAAAAAAAAACTGCAGCACTTAAACAGCAACAATTCCACCACCTATTCCCCTCAAAGACTCAGTCACTTGTAAGGGGAAGACCACATTATCATACACAAGTCCTGCTATAGCTGCACCAATGAAAGGTCCAATCCAGTACACTGCTTGATTCCTGAAGCTCCCTTTAACAACAGCAGAGCCAAATGAGTAAGCAGGGTTCATTGATCCCCCAGTAAATGGCCCTGAAGCCATAACGTTTGCTCCCAGCATCAGGCCAATTGCCAACGGCCCAATTGCTGCGTGGACGCACCTCCTAGGATCAGCAGCTGCATAAACTGTGTACACTAGACCAAATGTCATCACGCCTTCGAGTACTGCTGCTCCAAAACCAGTCATCTCTTGTGGAATTCCATGTGTTGGAACTTGCTGCAATGAAAGAAAATCAGCGTACCTTTAATTATCAGCAAATTAAAGGAAAATGAGTTCATATTTATGTCTGTTTTTGATCATGGGATTCAGTAAATTACAGAATGTTTGTTCTTCCACTAATCCAGCATACACAAACAGGAAATTCTCCAGTTTATTCCATTTGGCAACACAAGTAAAGGAAAAGTCATTGGAATGAAATTAGTTTGGCTAATTGAATAAACAGTATTCGACCTAACTCAATTGCAAAAGTTCAACTCATCATTGAGAATTGCGCCAGATCTCAACCAATGTGCGACATTTAACAGGGAAAAAAAGGCAGGGAAATTTCTCGAAATTGAAAGGTACGGAAATCAACTAACCTGATTAGTGAATTTGAGAAGAAGGCAAGCGGTGACAGAACCAATCATTTGAGAAATCCAGTAGAATATAGACATGGGAATACTTATATGGCCTCCTACAGCCATTCCAAACGTGACAGCGGGATTCACGTGTCCTCCAGAGATATTGGCTGATATATACACAGCGACGGACAAAGCAAATGCATTTGCAACTGCAATTGCCACTAGGCTAGATGGATCTGATGTCGCATCAGGCACCATTTTCCCTGTGATCACATTACACAAGTTACACAACACACTTAAAGTAGACTAAGAGAAAATTGTAGAATTAACTTATACTAAAAGAAGAAGTTACTGGTGGACATGGCAGCGCCTGCAGCGGCAAAGACGAAAAAGAAAGTGGAGAGAAACTCAGCGAGATAGGATCTGAGGGCATTGGGAGTGACAGAGTGCTGCAAGCGGGAAGCAAGGGACGCCATTAATTAAAACTAGTGATCTCAGAAGAATTGAATTAATTAAGAGAAGTTCAATTTGCTCTAAATCTCAATGAAAACGACCAAATGAAATGTCTTACAGACGGTTTGGGTGGTTTCCAAATGCTTATATAGGAGTTTGAGAGGAGTTACTGGTTGCAACGATTCCATTCAAATATTATTAACCGCCAATTACAGGTGCCCTCTTTATGCTTCACTGTTGGGCTATTTCATTTCAATAATGGACCCACAAAATTTTCAACTTTTGGCCGGTCCTTAAAATTTTGTCTTCAAATTTGATGCTCTTTAATTTATTTATTTTTTGTTCTTTGACAAGTAAAAAATAAATGACTGAATATAGCCCTTGACATAGTAAAATAAAGGCGGAATGACCTGAGAGACCCTTGTACTTGGCCCCGTTTGTCAGTTGGATTTTTCTACTCACCATTTTGCCAACTAAACCCTTAAACCCATTGAAACATGACATTTTAAACCCTTATATGGATGACTCATTGGTGCGTGTAATACAACTAAATACACATTAATTTCCACGTCATTAATAAATGCCACATAGAAAATTATATGTTAAAAGTCTAAAAGACCCTATTCCACTTCAGCTCTTTGTTGAAACAAGAAAGGATCTTGTTGGTACATTTTTTTTTATCTAACTTTTTTCTTTCCTTTGCAAATGAATATGAAGAATCCGGTTAGTGGTTAACTTATGAATCCTCTATTTTCATATGTTATTTTGTTGGTAAAACTATGATCGAAAGTGCTTGTTACTAGATAATTAAGTGAAACTTTCATTTAATTAAAGCTTCATAGTTTGATTGCAACTCAATTTGCTTTTCAAATAGTTTTTCATGATTTTTATTAATTCTATATTCTTATTCATTGTTTTTAGATCTGGATCTGTATGTTAGTGCAATAGTTAGTTTTAAGGGAGTGTAAAAAAATTTACTTTTTGTTTAGTGTAATGGGTATTATGGAAATCACTCGATCGCCTTCAATTCTTGCGTATGTTAGATTTTAGAATTTAACAATTTTGTAGTAATTATCGTGTGATCTTTAATTTTGAAGAGTTTTTCTTTTTTGAGTGTTTGATGAAATTGATAAATAAATTCTTTTCGGGATGTAGTGAGATCGGAGATTTTATTTTTATTTTTTTAGGGTGTTTAATGAAATTAGAAAAAACTTAAATCCTTTTTTGTGTGTTTAATGAAAATAGAGAATGATAAATTTTTGTTCAGCTGTTTGATGAAATTGCAAAAAAAAACATTTTTCTTTTCTTTTCTTGGTGTTTGATGGAATTGAATATATATATGAAAGAACACTGAAATTACGGGCTTGATCAGAAGATTAAGTAGAAGAAGAAGGTTTTGTGGAGGGAGATTATTGGAGAAGAAAAATCGGATGGAAGTTTATAAGGAAATCAAAATTTGATCAACAATGGTGTTGAAATTATTGGGGAAGAAGATGATTGTTATAAAGGTCAAAAGTGCCTGTCATCGCCTTTTCAGTACCCCCTCATGCGCCCAAAATATGTGCATCACATGCACTTTGGACAAAAATGCCACATAGGATGACAAGTCAAAAAATGGGTTTTAAATGTTGTGTTTCAACGAGTTTAAGGGTTTAGTTGATAAAGTGGTGAGTAGGAGGGTTCAACTGACAAACGGAGTCAAGTACAAGGGTCTTCCAGGTCATTCCGCCTAAAATAAACAATGTAGTTTATATTTTCGTACTATAACATAACAAAAGTTATGCCTTAAAAGGCATAATAAGTTTATGCGGCTTAATTCATATAGAATTTATGCTTATCAAGACAAAAGTTCAGAATCCACAAGTTATGCAATAATAAACATAACTTAGCTCCTAAAACTTATACCGAGTGAGATAAAATTATGTTTTAGAATCCACAAGTTATGTCGTATTAGGCATAATTTATTCCTACAAAACCTATGTCATGTGAGGAAAGAGTTTTGTAAACTTATGCTAAATGAACTAGATACCATACCACTTATGTTGGGTAACTTAATTTTCAAAGAACTTATGTTAGATGAAGCATAAGTTTAGATAAAAACATTTTGACCCACAAAAATTTCATTATTTTTTTTTAGGTCATTATATTTGAGAGAAAAAATTAAAAATCATTCAAAAATAGTGACAATCGGTGCAAAAACTTCAATTTCCACTCACGAGTCACAAGGGCCGGGAACCAGATGATTTTGACAAATAACCACTTTTATGGCTAAAGGAAAATCAAAGGTAACTGAAATTAATTCACTTTTTAATAAATAAATAAATTTTTTAGATGATAATAGGGATAAAACACAAGTATTCTTAGACTATGATCGAAATTTCAGAAACACACATTAACTAAACTAAGTCTTATTACCCTCATGAACTCATTTTTTGTTTTGTAATTTTATACACCTTTTGGCTTATGTAGCATACTCCGTGACACCACGTAGTTGAGGCGCGTGGGAGATATTTGGATGTCACGTAACCCAAAAAGGTGTACAAAATTATAAAAAAATGGATTCAAGAGGGTAATAGGACTTTAGTTTACTTAAAGTGTGTTTCTGAGATTTCGATTATAGTCTCGGAATTCTTGTGTCTTATGAAAGTTGGCTAAGTTTTATAAATGAAAAAATTACAGAAATCCCACCTTTTAGTTTACTTATCACCATTATCCCCTATAAGTTTTACAAATCTCCAAAATCCCTCATTTTCGCACATCAGGTTAGTGTATCTCACGCATCAGATTAATGTATCTCGCGCATCAAATTAGTGTATCATGTATAAAATGTACATCAGATTAGTGTATCATGTATAAAATGTACATCAGATTAGTGTATCATGTATAAAATGTAATGTATCTTACTTAACGATTAATGCATCTCGTGCATCAAATTAATGTATCAACGCTTATATTATTGTATCCGTTTGAGGGATTTATGTAATTATAAACTTTTAAGAGATAAATTGTAATTTTACTTTAAAAGTATGTTATTTCTGTAATTTGACCTTTATAAATTACATGGCGGAATAAGATTGGGCTGCAATTTTCGTTAAATGGGTTATTTTGCAAATCGGCCCATTGCACCAAATGGGGCGGGTCATAACCTATGAATGTCAAACAGGTTCGAAGAGGAGATCGTCACTGTAGAGGTTCAATTTTTATGGTAGCAGAGAAAAAATGGCTGCTCAAGAAGAAGTAAAACAACTGTCAGAGTGCTCAGTCTCCAAGTTAGTTTCCTTTATCTTCGTCAACATCATCTTTACCTATCCCTTTATTTGACAAAAGTAGACATTCTTTTATCTCAAAAAATTTCTGAATCTATAGGCAGAATATTTTTCGCCTGTTAGGATATTAGGAAAGAAATTTTAGGTTGAAACGTTCTATGCTTCTCCTTTCAAAGAACCAATCAAATTTTTGAAGATGCCAATTTTTTTTTCCTTTCTTGTTGAGGATGTCAAATTAACAAAAGGGAAAATGGTTAATAATTTCATCATTTGGATTTCAATCTTCATCGTCTCAAAAAATTACTTTTGAATCAAAACGGTAATTAAATCCACAATAATTGAACATTTAATTTGTCACTAAGGGTCCTGGTACGCAGACTAAATTATTCTGGAATTATCCCACCTCGGAGTTGGTATAAAATAATCCCAAGTCGGGTTGGATAAGGTAGGATACCCATGATTAAGTGAGGGATAAATTTAGTGCTGCATTTCGTTGACGGTATAAATATCATCTTATCCCACATACCAAACGACCCCTTAAGCCAAAATTGCAATACCTTTCAATGATGTTGAAATGAAGAGGATGAAGTCCAGGACTTTTTTCTTCTTCTTCTTTGAAAGGGAAAATGGGTGAGAGGATTACAAACCCTGGTGAAAGTGCAGGTAGACAATCAACCGAGCTTCTAAGATCCCAAGTCCAGTACTGAAATACCAGTAGAAGCAAAATAATTAGGCAATTTGTTTCAAGTGGCTTAAACAAATGTTGAGGGTGTCTCAAAAGGCAGTGTCTTATTTTCTTACCTTAGAATTAACGGAAGTGGAACCTTGCTTAATTTGGGGATGATATAGTATTACAGAGTCATTGAGTTATTCCCTCTTATCTCTTTTCCCTTCTTTGTCTGTCAAAAAGATTTGATCTATTTCCTTGTATGGAATTTTTGTCCTCCAACAATAAACAAATATTAACTAGAGTATTTCATGTGAGTCTTCACTTTTTGAATATTGCGAACCTTTGAAGCTTAAGCACTTGTTTTAGGCAAACATTTCACTCTTAATAATTGTGTGAGTCAAAGCACGTCATGTTTGATAGAGTGGAGGTAGTACCATATATAAATGCTTTTGTTCAATAGGAAGATTGGAACAACGTTGAAGGCAAGGGTGGGAATAATGGTGTCAGTATAATAAGTAGTGCCACACCCTTCGGGCTCGGGGTGGCCCAGTGGTTTGGGCTTGGGACTTCCATGTTGGAGGTCTCAAGTTCGGAACCCCTTGCCAGTGAAAGCAAGGGTTTGCCTTCTGGGTCGAGCTCGTCGCATCGAGCTTGCCTAGTTTGCAAGCTATTGCATAGGAGCGGAGGTTTTACCCTGTGCGCACCTAAAGGGTAGCGGCTACGGTTTCCCTTGTCATCAAAAAAATAAAATAATATGTAGTGCCACACCCCTTTCATTGGCTTTCTAGTTCCTTTTAGGGTCATCATGCCTTGTACCGCATATGATAGCAGTATCGTACAGGTGAAATGTGAACAGGAAAGTTATGAGAAACCAGTATGATGGATGATATTTATCCACACCTTGTTTGGTCGAATTTTCATGGCACTGATTATGTGCTTCATCTTCTAAAATTGCTATTTGCTTCCTTCTATTTTTATAAATTGTGGACGTCTTTGCTTTTCTATCTGGTGTATGTTCTTTGCAAATAAACTTTCACGAGCTTCTGGTTATCACACTGTATAAAATGAGTCACTTTCATCTTGTCATTTGAAGTATTTCTTCTTTGATTGAATTCAGTGTTTCTATTTCGTCTTGGGGTTTTCAGACAACTTCAAGCTACAACGGTCATGTTCTTCTACCTTTCTCATTTTTAAGTATTCTTTAGCTCTGAACAATAAGAACAACTTTCCCTCAATTCTAAACAAGTTGGGGTAGGCTATATGAATCCTCATTGACAATGTTTCTTGGTTTAAACTAATCTCATGCCAACATATTTTTGATAACATTTTACAAAAAAGAAATTAAATAAGAAGTATTAGAAGTTCTCTAGTCCAGAACATGTCTAAGATTTTTCAGGCCTTGGGAGCTTGTGTGATGATTTTTTCTCCCAGGTAAATTTTTTGAAGGAAAAGGGTAACAAATTGGAATATATTTGATCTCCATGAGAATTGCAGCTGTGACGTAATTTCTCATTCGTGTCATGCAGATATTATATTACTCTGTCATGGCATTCCCAAAATCAACAATGGAAAATTCAATGTTCATGAATGTCTTTATGTATCTATTATGCAGAGAATTTGAAATTCGTGCTCCTAATACATGTGTGTTTTTTTTCTTCTTGAGATGGGTATTAAAGCTTAAACTTGGAGATGGTATTGAAACAGTTATGTTATTTTGGGTTCTAAGACAAATGTTTTTCCTCGACTAGTGCTTTGAGCTTACCTCCTGGCAATCAGGCAATGCATGGGATACCACAAATTCTGAATGTGAATGTTTGTATCTGTCATGAGAGAAATTGAATTTATGCTATACTTTGTTCTAATGAACTTGGTATAATCATGATTGCCTATATATGGGTCATGTTGCTTGCCTTATTTATTCTAGTCCGGAACTTTCTGGTCTGATATTTAAATTACTGCAGTGCTCTGGGGACATGGGTTTTTTCTGTAGCTGGTGCACTGCTTGCGATTCCAGTGGGTATTAAACGGAAATCTTTGGCACCCCTTGTATTCTTTGGCACAACTGGTACGATGCTAGATATAATTATGGGTATCAGTGCTTGTGAAAGGGAGCATGCAGAACGGCAAATGAAGCTTTTGGAAGAAGCACAAGGATCTGCAGCTGTTGATACCTTGGCTGGTGCAGCAACTGAACATTGATGGCATTCAGGTCGCTCTGGATTTTGTCTTCAACTAATAGCTGAGGGTCATGAGTTCATGTAGCATTTTGAGTACTGTTGACCTTCAGTTTCCGCTTTACTTGGCTTGTAACCTGGATATTATCATTATCATTAGCAGAAAAGAAGGCAAATAATGTGTGCGGTGATTGAACTTGTGATGTGGCTTCAGAACTATCTTTTTTCTTCTTCTTAAAAAACGTTCTATTAGTAACCATGTAGAGAAGTCCAAAATAACTCCATCATGGCCTGATGGTTTTTAACACTTTCATACCTTGAGTTTGTTTTTACGTTCTTGTACTTATAAAAGAGGTTTACTTAACCTCGTACTCTATTTCATTTCATTGTGCAGCAAACTATAGTTGGAAACTTGGAATCTAAAGCTCTTTTGAATGTGAAAACTCATCAGCCAGCTTTTAGACAAATAATAAAGTTTTGTTGTTGCTGTAGGAGTAGCTTCTTAAACTAGTTCAAATAATATGACACCCATGTCTTCATTTTTAGGTACAACCCCTTCGTTGCAATTCGTCTTTTTTAGCAGTCTGTCACTCCGACAAACTTGACCAAGTTCATATACCTTGTTCTAGTTTTCACCGTAGCTCATCTTTTTCAGACCCAAAACTTAAAATGATTTTCTCGTGTTTAGGAAAATTCAAAATCGAAGTTCTGGTACAAACATCTTTAGTTTATGTAAAGGATTGAAATGCTTTTTGAAACAGCATGTTTGACCATCTTGTGGCCTGGACTGGAGAACGTCCACTCATCTAAGCCTTTAGCCACAAAATGAATTTCTATGTGCAAGCATATTGCACCCCGATAACTTCGCCTCAATCCCAAATAAATTAGAGTCATCGAATCCCCACTAAATTTGTCACTTCATTTGAGCCTATCGCAAACTCATATTATTCAACAAATAATTCTTTTCTTTTTCTATTAGCATATAAGTAGCTGACAGGACTAAAATACTTCTAAAGAACAGGTGAAGTAACCATACTACATCACAATCACAATGACATTTTCCCTTTACATGATGCGGGTCTGGCTTGGGTAAAACATAGCACCTGAATGCAGCAGAAAGGAACGCACCCAGCTCAACCCAACCTTTCCTCCCCAGGAGAACATTACTCAAAATCAATTTTGTCTATAGAAGAAGCATCCTTTAGACAAAACGAACTATGCAGAAGCATTTATAGGGATATTATTCAAGATGGTATATTCTTCACTCAAGGAGTCCAGAAAAAGAATTCCCAATTATGAGTTTATGAAAAACACATGAATTCTTCAGAGAACATTGATATTTGAAACATTTATAGAGAAAAAGAACTCCTATACTTGATTGACATCAGATATAAAGGACGGCAGAGAAACAGAGATCATCTCGTACCTACCACATTCGCAATCTCTTGTTGCATTAATAGTAACTTTCAATTTCAAAGGACTGTTATTCTCCTGTTGCAGTAGCAACTTCAACAAAATTAACCAAACCAAATAGAAATTTGGTCTTACATCAAATTTATTTTTTTCTTTCAATTCCTTGCCCTCATTGGTGCGTGATGTGTCAGTGACTGAAACACCTTCCCCAGCAACACTATGTTTAAACACCGTACTTTCAGCCATGCCCTGCCTTCTGGAGACTAAATTTGAAGCATGATTGGTTCTATCCTGCCTTTTGTAACAAGAGAACACATCTTCAGCTCTGATGTTTCCAAACAACATTTCAGCTGCCTTGTTTTTAACAAGAAGTGGAACATGCATTGAATCATCCCACACATATAGCTGCAAAATTGAAATAGTACCTTAAAACGTCTCCAAATAAACAACGATAAACTAACAAATAATCGGTTAGGTGCACCTTATGGAACTTACGATAATTTCTGCTCTGAAAGTAAATATCTCACACACCCATCATTATAGTTGAGTGAACACAATGTCAATGAGTTTGAAAAATATCTTGATACTAGTGTCAACTAGAGTTGTGAAGTTTTAGTACCAACATGGACATAAAAACTTCAGGTGCCAAATCCCATGGCTTGGAATGAAAATATAAGTAGTAATGGTGATGGGGTTTTCTGGAGCTAATTTACAAGAAAAAGAATGTTACCAGTTGAAAGAAAAACTCTTACCATGAAAGGTCGATATATCATGCTCACTGCATGAAGGTGATTGGAGCTCTCCTGACAATAGAGTGATGAGGCTTTTTTAATACTGCCTGAACTGTTGAAACCACAATGATTTCGCAGTTACTAAATGTTAATAGACATATTATAGGCATATACAAATGGAAAGAGGACTGGTTCAGATTTTCCTCTTACCTAGATTCATCACTCAAAGGAGTACTACATAGATGGCAGCCAGCAGTAATCAGATCATCAGCAACATTGCAATCTGAGTGTACATATAGCCTTTTGCTAATGAACATGCTTCCAACATCAGATTCAGGAAGATGTCTCCAGGTAATTGGCAGAAATAATTCACCAACAGATGCATATATGGTTGCCTTGCAGGAATCAGGAAGATCAGATAAATATTTAAGAGAGATGCAATCCTGAGATTTCGTCTCTTCATGCACTTTCCAATTAATAGATGCCTGCTTCCATTGCAAATCCGTGAGGCCAGCATTCATTATTATATGTCATAAAGCAAGTCAATTGACAAATACCCTTTTAACTGGAGTCATTTGACAACAGATGTGAAGCAATGCACGGGTATGCTCTTATCACTATCACATGGATACCAATCAATCTTGAAATACTATTTTTGAAAATAAGTAATAAGAAATAAAAGTCATAGCTTTCTTCCATCAAACAATGATAGAGTACTTAGACCTTCCTTATTTTGACAAATAACATAATCCTCTTTACCAGTAAAAGTTGGTGGTTTTTATTTCAGCACAACTGGGACAAATTATTGTATTGCATCTTCTACAGAAACCCAGCAAGGTCTTAAATATTAAACTCAAATCCTAATCTTGAACTTTGTAAAAGCAAAAATAAAGAAAATTATCCAAACTGATATTTCCATTATTTCCTAGGTAAATACAATAATAATTGAGGGTAAAATAGGAGCAACAAATTAAAAAAACTTTTTAATCAAATCATTGCTTTTAGTGGTCCCAGTAAAGGCATGGAAAGTTTCTACTAGAGGAGTTTTAAGATAATTCTCAAAGTATAGGGGAGATCCATTTAGTTCCAGTAAACTAGAGCGGAGGTCCAAGTATTCACCAAAAGTTAATTCATTAACTAAATCTGCTTGCCAAATTGTTTTGTTTTCTATAGTATCAGAAAACAATTCATTAATTAAATAAGAACGAAAGGCACTTATAAGTTGGTGCAAAACTGTTCCTAGCAGGTGCAACAGTGCACTAGGATATCCAAATCTTAAGAACTATAACTCTTCGACTTGAGCCAAGTGGGGTGGGGTTTGATCTGATAACGCAGCCTGAAATACATAACCGAGGACAAGATAGTCCACAAATAAATCATTTTGCAGCATAAATACATCTAAATGTGGACTTCATCAACTGTGGAAACTAATTAAGAGAAGAATTGAATCCTAGTCTCTACTCAAGTCTATGCGATTTCAAATTTACAACAGCAGTTCCAAGAGAAAGAGGATATATACTTGATGGTTTTTCAATTCAACAGCAGCTCCCTGCTGCAGCAATGTAACAATTTTCTGAAGCTTATCCTTCGATGCCGTACCAATTCGACAGCTGCGCATCAGATCGTCCACACCTGCAAAGACGTTAAGTCAATATCTTAGCCCAGGTCAGGAGCAGACTGGTCTAATCTCAGCCGAACTACAGATATTGAAAAAAAAAACACTAAACAAACAGTATAAGCCTTATGAAATCTTTTTGATCCCATTCTTATATTTCGCTTCTTTATGCTTGTGAAGAACTAATGTTGAGACAAAATATAAAGTTTTTAAGTACGTGAAGTCTCATCAGAGCAGAAATTAATTTATTTCAGGCACTCATGACAAGTGAAGCATGGCTAAATCAAATTTGCTGTCCAACATGTTTTGGTGGTGCCACATGGGAGTCGAAGACTAATTTTTCAAACCTCCCTAGAAGTATAGCAATCCGGTGGCAACCTTACTACAAGAGGAGTCTGATTCGCACTCAACAATTATTTGGTTGAACTATATAAAACTTCAGATTAATCTATTTGGAGAAAGGCTAATGATGAAGCTGCATATAAGTTTTTTCTTTTCATGTTAGCAAGAAAGATAACGTTAGCTAATAGATAAGCTTCCTGTTACTACAGTCTACAGATTGAGGGTGTGATTTCCCAAGATACACATTTACGGTTGATGAGAAGTTTGTAAGAGGTTAAAAGTAGCTGATTAGAGAAATAAATTTCTTTATTGAGTATTTTTTATGGCTGAAAGCATGTTTTATTGGTTGTGGGTTCTTCTTGTTAAATCTCAACCTTTTTTTCTAGAAAACTCCCTTTTCTAGACCCGTCCCCAACTTGCGCGCTCGTTTTGGGGGCCAACGAACCCCGGCGCGGAAAGCGCCAAGGAATACTAAAATTGACAGCCCTCCCTTCGCGCCCCGTTCGCGGATCGTGCGTGAGATGCGTGCTGCTCTTTAAACACAAATGACTCTCGGCAACGGATATCTCGGCTCTCGCATCGATGAAGAACGTAGCAAAACTGCTGATTAGACAAGGAGGGATCCATTCTCTGAGTAACTGAACCAACACCTTGAGGCTATGCTATTCTCAGTCTAGTAAGGACTGGGAACTTGTGAGCATTGTTATCATTTTTAACAAGTTTAACAATTTACATGCATATAACATCAAGGTACTGCAAAAAAGAAAAAGAATAAAGGAAATACGATCAATTTATTGTAATCAATAGTTAGCATGTTGGTCAACTGCACTCTAATATGCAAGGAACAAAAGTTCATTGGCATATCACATTATAAATGGGTTCCAAAGAGGTTCAACGAAAAAAGGAAAAGTGCACTTCTTTATCATCTGCAAGAAAGAAAGAAAGAGAGGGCTAACAAAGACTTTCAATATAAAGTATTATATCACGAAGATAGAAATGGTGTTCAAAATGAAAGATATCGTAGAAGAAACAGGCGTTCGATTTATGTTTGTTTCATCAGTTTGTAACTCAATATACTAGCCTCATGAAGGTTAATTTAGTGGCATCACC